CCGCCCTTACCAATTCTGTCGTTGCGGATTAGAACATACCCCGGGAGACAATAGGATGTGGAGGGCAAGGAAGGTTTGAGCCAGCTTTCAGAAATAAGAATAGAATGTAGAGTAGAAGAGGAAAATGTGTCAAGAAGTTCAGAGTAGTGAGAAGGTATACTTTGAGCGTTCAGATGGCACACGTTAAAACCATGAGGAGAGTGAGGCACTAAACAATTTAGTTTATTTCGCAGCGTTTCAGGTTCATCGAAAGAATCACAAGATGAGAATGAGATAGAACTATTACCACGAGCAGAATAGAACGAATCATCATTTGACATATAAATAGATATTAATATAAGTTATATAAATAAATAATAAGTTAAATATAATATAATATATAAATATAATATAATAAAAAATGTAATATATTATTTGAATAAATAAAAATATTGTGGAAGTAAGACGTGTAAACATACGGTCCGTGTAAATTAATTTAAAATACTATTAAAAAGTTGATTTTCGGTAGTGCAACTTATACAAAAACATTTATTAATTATCAAACTTACATTCCATTGCAAAATTACAACTTAATATTGTAGAAGTGTAACAGAGAATAAAAATACATTAACAACTTATGAATTCCGTTGCGTTCATGCAGTGATTTTAGTGTAACGGTGAGTCATCGCTGCAGCAGCGCAGTCACGCATTTCTACCTACCTGTTGATGTTGAGCGGCCGTTCGGGAAATATAATTTGTTCATTATTTATAACTACCTACATATTGAGTATTTGTAGTTTAATTATACTACGTTATAACTTCAGTACACGTGCAAATCTATTAAAATGGCATCAAAGAAAATATCTTGTGCTGGATGTCTTAATATCATAATGGGCAAACTGTATCTTAAATGCCATACGTGTAGAGATATTTACGACTTATCATGTGCTAATGTTTCTGAAAAACGGTTTAACAACAATATGACCAAGGAACATAAACAGGCTTGGGTATGCCCTGCATGCCGAAATAAACAACCTAAGGGAGATAATACCAATACACCCATACGTCAAGGGAACTTAGGAAACCTAAACAAGTCTTCTGATAGCGAGGATTCTCAGAGCAGCTATGTCACTCAACGAAAAAAGCAATCAACATCTTTGTATTCGCATTCTGAAGATGAATTGAGAAGACTCATCAAATCGGAAATGCGAGCTTCGCTGCGTGAGGAGCTTCCTGATCTGATTCGCCCAATGTTAGAAAAAGAACTATACCCCCTTAAAGAGAGACTACAAGATCTTCAAAACACAGTTCAGTATATAAGTAATCAGTATGAAGATTTAAACAAGACAATATCAACATTGTCATCGGACTACAATAAGATGAAATGTCAATGTGATAATTTGGAATCCACAGTACTATCTTTAACGGAACGCATTAATACTATAGACCAAAATCTAAGAGATTCTAATATTGAGATACATGGAGTCCCCGAAAGTAAAACAGAAAACCCGCTTAGTATTATTAAGAAAATTGCTGAAACTGTGTCTTACAACCTTTCTGACACTGATGTTTTGAATTGTACAAGAGTTGCCAGTATGAATAGGAATAGCAAGCGGCCAAGAGCTATAATCGCGAAATTACGAAGTACACGATGTCGTGACGAACTGTACTCTGCCATTGCTAGATATAATAAGTCTCATCCCCACAATAAACTTAACTCATCAAATCTCGGTATCAGTGGTAATATTGTGCCAATATATGTATCGGAGCATCTTTCTCCTTTTAATAAATCTGTGCATGCTGCAGCCAGACTCAAAGCGAAGGAATTAGCTTATAGATTCGTGTGGGTACGAAATGGACACATATTTATGAGAAAAAACGAAACCTCACAATTTATACATGTTAAAAATTTGCAGGTGTTAGAGAATCTGCAGTGAATTTGTAGTTTTTAACTTCGTAGTGTACTTTTTGTTTTGTTTTTTATTTTATTTTTTTTGTAATTATCTTTTTAAAATGAATAAGATGGATGTAACGATTTATTATCAGAATATCAGAGGTATGAAATCTAAAACGAATGATATTTATAAAACTATTATCTGTAATAACTATGATATAATATGTCTATGTGAAACTTGGCTCGATGATACGGTATATTCAGCAGAAATATTTGACGAACGGTATAAAGTTTATCGTAAAGATAGACCTATTGAATTTTTAACAAAATATAGTAAAACCCATGGTGGAGGAGTGTTAATAGCAGTAAATAAAAGTATTTTATCGGAGTGTAGATATGATTGGAATTCGTCACTTGAAGATGTATGGGTTAAAATTAAGCTAAAACATATTTCTTTAAATATTTGCACAGCTTATATGCCTTCATATATTGCGAGTGAGCAATTCTTTGACTATCTAGAAATTTGTGAAGAAAGAATGTTATCGTCGTTTGGTGAACATTTTCTTATTATAGGTGATTTCAATCTACCAGATTATGAGTGGGATAACACAAAAAATTTTAAAACTATTAATGAGAAATATTTGCTTATGAGAGACTTTGTATCTCGAACTTCACTCGCTCAACGTAACTTTACTTTTAACAGCAATGGGAAGCTTCTTGACTTGGTATTGGCGAGTACTGACTTGGTATGTAAAGTGATGGACGCACAGCCACTTAGTCGTGTCGATATTTACCACCCCCCTTTAGAGATTAATATTACCGCAGACAATACTTCATCATTAAAGGAAAATATCATTAAAAGATTTAACTTTCATAAATGCAATTTTTTAGGTTGTACAGCGGATCTCTCGAAAGTCGAATGGCATAAATACTTGAATCTTGATTGTAATAATTTCTTACAGTTATTTTATAATGTCCTATGGGAAATTATAGAAAAATATACTCCCGTGGCCAAATCTAAAAAATCCAAATATCCGTCCTGGTTCTCTCAATCCCTGATAAAACTATTAAAGGAAAAGGATAAATATCATCGCAAATATAAAAAGTTTAGCAACCCGCGTGATTTTGACACGTATTCGTTACTAAGATCCAGATCTAAAGAGTTATTTGATAAAAACTTTAAAATTTACATATCACAAATGGAAGAGAATATAAAGACTAATATCAAAGCATTCTGGAGATATACTAAGGCTAAAAAATTAACAAACGATCTTCCAAACCAAATGTTTTACAAAGAGCAACGTGCAAACGATGGTTATAGTGTTGCTAATTTGTTTGCAAGTTATTTTTCTTCCGTTTACAACCAGTCTACCGCCAAGTCATATACCCCAAAGTTTTCTCAGGCAACGCAATGTCTGTCTCATATTTATATTTCAAAAGACGATGTTACCAAGTCATTGAAATCTATCGATGCTACTAAGGGTGCAGGGCCCGACGGAATACCGCCAATATTTGTTAAAAATTGTGCAATAGCATTGGTTGAGCCTCTAACTATATTATTTAACAAGTCGTTGTCATCGGGAAGTTTCCCTGATTTGTTCAAAATTGCTAAAATTGTGCCAATACATAAAACAGGCTGCAAAGCAGATATAAGTAGCTATAGACCAATAAGCATTCTTTCTTGTTTTGCTAAGATCCTGGAAGGGCTAGTGTATAAACATATCTATTCTCATCTTAGGCATATTATTGATTCCAGCCAACATGGCTTTATAAATAATCGTTCCACATTGACAAATCTTCTTGAATATATCCATTATATAAACGTAGCCTTTAATAACAAAGTACAAGTTGATTCAATTTATGTGGATTTTGCGAAGGCTTTTGATAGGGTTGACCATGAGATACTTTGCATTAAAGCACATCATTTGGGTATTCATGGCTCACTTTTGCTTTGGCTTAAATCTTATTTAATGAATCGTCCGCAAATCGTAACTATTTACGGCTATGATTCAGTCCCGTTTGAATTAAAATCTGGTATACCCCAGGGCTCTAATTTAGGCCCTCTATTATTTATTTTATTTGTCAATGATCTTCTCCAAACTTTAACATGTGAGCATTTAGCCTTTGCTGACGACATAAAGATATATCGTACGATAAGTTGTGATCTAGATTGTGAAATACTGCAGCGAGATATCAATCGTTTGCATCAGTGGTGCATTGATAATAATATGAACTTGAATATATTTAAATGCCACGTCATATCTTTTACTAAAAATAGAATTCTTATAAGTTATCCATACTGTGTTAATAATGTGCGTTTGGAAAAAAAGGAATCCATTCGTGACTTAGGTATTATACTTGACTCAAAATTATCATTTATACAACACTATGATTATTTAGTTGCAAAAGCAAATAGAACTCTAGGGTTTATCTTTAGAACAACTAGACCTTTTAAAAACTCGCATGCTATCTTGTCACTCTATACATCACTAGTTAGAAGTTCACTTGAGTACTGTTCTGTTATTTGGTCTCCTTTTTATCAGAACCACATTGACAGAATAGAAGCAATTCAAAAACGCTTTGTTAGATTTTTGAGCACTAAGTATGGTCTGAGAAGGAAACTTCATACGTATGAATTAAGACTTAATCATTTTAACATTAATTCTCTTATAAATAGAAGATCTATGTCTGATTTCATTACTCTTTATAAAATAATAAATTATAAATGGGACAGTAGCACATTGTTGAGCCTTGTTTCATTTCGTACAGGTAATAAAAGAATACAAAAATTATTTTATATACCGATTTGTAATAATAATGTATCGTATCACAATCCAATTATCCGCATGTGCAGAAAATATAACAATGTATGCAAGGACCTTGATATCTTCCAACAATCCTTGCAATGTTACATTAAGGCTGCCAATTTGTTACTTTAAATTTATAGCCGTCATTCTTTTAATGTATATAATATCGAATGTTATGCAGAGCAGTTATTGGAGTGCAAATTTAATGCCGTTTCATGTAATATTTATTTTATAAATGTATTAATTTGTAATCTGTTGCCTTGCTATAAATAAATAAATAAATAAATAAATAAATATAATAAAAATTAAAGTTTATAGTATTAACTGCACGTCCTGCCGGTTGTGTGGTTTGAGAATAAATTAAACTAGATATTACAGGCTAAAAAGAAATAAAAAAGTATTGATAACAATAATCACACATAAGAAATACTAACTAGGCATAAAGATATAAATAAAAATACTTCAATAAATATTGTGTTACAACAAACAATCACTGCATATGCAGATTAATAGATTATAACCCCCTCCCCAAAAACAACTCCATAACAGTTGTCATTTTCTAAAAGTGCCAAGAAATTTAGCAAAATTAATATGCCAACTGTATACAACTACATTAGGTAATGCTAAGATCTCTAACTTTCAGAACTTATCTATGGTACACATGCTGTCTATATGACAGTTGACAATTACCAAATAAATGTCAGCTACAATAATATGTCAACGTAAAGTGGCATTCCAATATATTTGTAAATAAAGAGGTTTTTTAATAATTAGTAATTTCTATTTTGATAATTTAGTGGGAGGTGTAATCATAATATTAGTTATGAGTACTTATGGACAACACAATAACAGGATTTTAACCTAGGTGCTGGGCAAACAAGATAACAAAACTGAAAGACAAAAAATATAGAGTAAAATGTTCCTAGTTACAAACAGAATGAAGTGATTAAAATAAAAGTACTTCGTTAAATTATTTCTTTGTTCTGCCGCTACGTTTGGATTTTGTACGAGCCTCCGAGGTGCCTGATGTAGGTGACGCCTGACTCACAATGGCTGGGGTCTCGGCGTTACCAGGGACGAAATGATCCAAGTCCTTATTTGTGAAAACCCTCTGAATAGTGCCATCCGATAACTTGACTATGACATTGCCGTCAGTAGTCCAGCATCTCCTGGTGCCAAGGCGCTTACGTGCGAGCATAAACAGACTCTGCCTGTGGCGTGTGAGAAACTCTGCCATAGAATAAGAGGTACCTTTGAGAGCTGTCTTCTTTCTCCAGACATCAGACTTTAGAGTCGGCTCAGTGAATCGTAGTAATACCGGCCTACATTTGCCTTCAACTGGTTTACCAAGCCGGTGACAGACTGCAATCATCTTCTTGCTCAATTCTTTGAATTCGAACCTGTCTCTCAGGATTTGAACTATGAAGTCTTCTAATGTAGGATTAATATCTTCAGGAATCCCATTGAACAGAAGGTACTTCCTACGATGTCTCATCTCAATATTATCAAGCACTCCAGCGACTGCTGCAATCTGTTGCTGTAGCAAACCAAGTACAGAATGCACATGAGACTTGAACTCCTGGAACTCCTCATCAAGCTTCGTCATAGAATTGCTGGTTTGTGGAACTTCAGCCTTCAATTGTGCTTCGAAGCGTGATATCTTGTCAAGCACAGTGGCCTCAAGAGCATGTTGTGTCTCAAGAATATCTGTATAGTTTGCCATTTTCTTATGTCAGTGTGATTGAGTGTGAAACCAACAGGACAATGCAGAATATATTGTAACTAGTGCATGTAAAGCTACACAAACACTTGTGAAGGTTATTGGAATAATAAACTTATATAATTTAAATAAAAAATTAAAAAAATCACACTTTTTTTAATTTTAATAATAAATTCAAATGGGAGCACTATGTTACTTTTATTTAGATCTACCGCCAAAAAAAGAAATTATAAATCGATTTGGAAAATTAAGTTCAATAAAAAAAAAGGAACTTTATTTATAAATTATATTTATTTACATATAAATTTATATAAACGATTTAAACATCCAAATCCTAGTTTACTAACTACTATTAAACTATTAGCATGCGTTGCCATTCCTGAGGACTCAGATGTTATTCCTCTGTACCCAGTAAATTCACTGCCATATTCAATGCCGTATAGATTGATTGATGATTAATATTCAAGATTATAACTATATACTATATATATACTCTATTAAGTAATATATATATATATATATATATATATATATATATATATATATATATTACTTAATAGAGTTGTCAGAGGCATTTTACTACTACCTAGTAAGGGACGAGCCTATCACCGTCACTCGAATTTGTTTTGATAACGGTGTGCCATATCACTGGCGAGTAAATAAAAAATTAAAAACTCACAAACTTTTGGGTTTAATCTTGATGATTGCTTACTCTTAGTGTCAACAAAATTATCAGGAAGCAAAGAATAATACATGTCATGGGTGTCACAGTATATACTGTGACACCCACTCCCGAATAAAATTCGACATCATTAAACTTTTAAAAGGAAAAGTGACACATTGTAATAAGGAACACTAGGTAACTGAACCTTGGCCAACATTTTATGTATTTTTAATGGAGGAAAAGCGGCGTAACTGAATAAAAGACACTTTCGTCCCGAACAATGAAATTAATTTGCTACACCGGCACAGATAGCTCCAATTTCTATCCGGAATTCAAATTCACTGTCATATTCCCCATTCCAATTTGAACTGTACACACTGAGCGTTACGGCTGATATTGGCTTGGGCAAAACAAAGACATATTTGGAGTATGGGCCAGTGGAAATGGCACATTACATTGTAACGAGCCTCCTTCGCCCCCAGCATTATATGCTTGCATTAAAAATGTTTTATCCTCTCCTTGCCACTTCTTTAATATGAACATTTTTCTGTTTTACGGTTTTTTACGGTTTTTAGCGACTTACCATAGGTAATGGGAATTTCAATTGTTTCATATTTTTCTTTACACGGTCTTGTCACTAACTTTGAACCTATATTGATAATATTTTTTGCAGTCTTTCTTTTAATAGATGATAATGAAATGGTATATCCACTTGCGCTAATAGTGTATGCTGGCGGAGCACCAGTGAGGGTTAATAGGTGAGAATAAAAAGACAGGTAGCCCATCGCGATGAATACACCTGGAATTCAGCACGATGGTTTCCTGGGGGGACCATGGGGAGGTCGACCTGACATATTGATAGTAATGATAGTAATGGGGCTGGTATTACTGCTTAATAGAAAAAAAAATGTTAAAGTGCTACAAGTATAAACTGTCTATGATTACTTGACACGCCCCTCCAAAATCCAAAGAATTAAAAATGTGTAAGAAAAAACATTTACAATGCTTGGATCAAGGAGTATAATACTCCTCTGGCCGAACCGCTACTGAAGACATTTCCTTACAAACACAAACAGAGCACCGCGTCTGTGTTTGTATCACACACATTGAAGTGAAAGTTGGAGCGACGTGCCATGTTAACGTAGACAATCTATATATACAATCTTATCATTTCTTGTACTAGGCAAAAGAGGCTGGCTCAGCTGATGCTGCGAATGTCACAGTCTAATGTGTACAACTGCACGCACAGACTTTGTTTTGTTTTATTAAGAAAGTAACTGGTTTGCAGCCAGTTACTTTCTTAATAAAACAAAACAAAATATAAACTTAAGGTCGGCACCATACCTGCAATTCTTCCAATGTTTTGAGTACTCATCATCAGATGAGCCGTATGCTTTTGACAACGCACATGCTATTTTTGTCTGTCTATCTGTCTGTATGTTTGTTCCGGCATCAAGCATAAACTGTTGCATAAAATTGGATGTTTAATTCCGAATCTTATGGATGTTTTATCTCGATACACAATTTTTAAAAGTGGCTACCTCCTTTCAAAATTCATATATAATATAATATCGATTATCCGAATCATACAAAACCAGGAGGATTCCGTATAATAGAAAATCCGGATAATCAATTTTAAAGTGAAATCAAACCATAATTAAATTTATATTTTTTTTATTTTATTTAAATAACTTTATTGACCAAAATAAAATAAGGTACAAAAGGCGGACTTAATGCTAGTAGCATTCTCTACCAGTCAACCTTTGGGAACAGTGAATCACGATTTTTTTTTTATTATGTAAAGGATTTTATATATGTTATTTAGATGATATGAAAAACATTAGGAGCTATAAACCTACATAATACCTATTTTTAACCAATTCATACATAAACCCATTTCTAAATTAGTAATTAGAGCCGTGCAGAATAAGTCCGGATAATCGAATATACGGATAATCGATGATCGGATAATGGAGATTCTACTGTACGATGTTTCGGAAGAAAGTTAGTTATATTTATACTGTACAAATAGTAAGTATGACATAAATTGTTGCATAGTATGAAATAAAGAAAATTATGCCAAAAAGCAATAACCACAACTTAGCGACCGGAAAGTCGTATTTCTAATTTACAGCCACTAAATATGTGCGTAAAACGCAACATCATAATTTATTTTAGTAGGAAGCGTACGACGTAAATCACACGTGTGAGAATTATTAAAATTGAATGTGTCGCTTGTTCTGTGCCGCCGCCATATTTGTGAGAATTGGCGGGAAAAATATATGCACTTCTTTTTTTAAACATTTCTTCCATTAATACAACGCGCGCGTAATACCTCTGGTATTGCAGGCGTTCATAGGCTACGGTAACCGCTTACCATCAGGTGGGCCGTATGCTTGTTTGCCACCTCAGTGGTATAAAAAAAAAAAACAATAATAGTCTGAACTCCTTTCTTACGCTGTGACATAGATTCGAAGAGATTTTTGTAATGTTTCTTATATCATCTGTATTTCTAATAACTGAAATCACGTCAGCTGGCATATTATACGACAAAAACCTACCAAATCATAGTACGTTTACTTTTTTGAAATTTGAATTTCGTAACTGTTATTTCAAATTCATTGGAAGATGCTATTTATTAATAAATGCTGTGTCCATAACTTAGTCGGCATAATCGAAATAAAACGCACTCCATTTGCTTTTCCATTATGTATGCCAAATTACATGATGAATATAGGAAAAGACACATACCAATAGGAAAACAAACTCAGTTTCATATAAATACAAATAAAAAAATCGCTGTTAATGTTGCTATGCGCAAAACTCTAATACGGTTTGATCAATACGTCAATGTTTTTTTTTTTCGAGTTCCGAGAAAGTTCCTATAAAGCAAAAATATAAGAAATATTGCCGGTGGAAAAAGATAAAAACCCCATTTTTCTACATCTCGTACAAAATGATCCTAGCTGTCAATTCGAACACTTCAATATTTTTTGACAGAAAGACGTCTATACGAGCTAGTTAATTTATAACGTAGGTTAAAACACCTACCTATAGATATTATATATATTTAATTATACTGCGTTTTAGTTTCGGATTTCGAAAACTGACCCTTTTATTTATAAAAACTAAACATCGTACAAACATACTTTTAGGAAGGGGTAATATATACCAATATCTATGTATGTATTTTAGATACAAAATCTATATAATAATCCAAGAAGAAATATGTATTTTTGTTATACAACTTAGAATGGCAAACAAGCTGACGGCACACCTGATGGAAAGTGGTAACCGTCGTCTATAGACATGAGCAGTACCATGGACATAACAGAGTATACTGTATCGCCCACGATACCCCCATGCGTTGCCATTCCTGAGGACTCGGGTGTTATTTCTCTGTACCCTGTAAATTCACTGCCATATCCCACCCTTCAAACCGAAACACAGCTATGCAAACACAACTGCTTCACGGTAGAAACACGAACAGGACAGAAGTACCCAAGCAAACGACTTTTGTACAAAGTCTCCCTCTGATAAAATTATATTCAATTATATAAAGTATCCTATTTGCTAAGTTAGGATATAACCTATCCATATATTAAATTTCATTCAAATCCGTTCAGTAGTTTTTCCACGAAACAGTAACAAACATTTATCTACGCAGCCATCTATTCATTCATTGTTTAAAATTTTTGCATTTATTGTATTAATAACAATAGTATAGGAAACCAAGCTTGTTTGTCACGTTGTAACCTCGTGTAACGTCTTAGCCAATTACTATCATAAAGGTGAAATTAAGTTTATTTGTTTGTTACCTTTTTGCGGCTAAACGGGTAAACCAATCATGGTGAAATTTAGTACACAAGTACTATAAGGGATGGAGAAGGACATAGGCTAGTATTTTTTATCTCAGTTAGTGAACATATATTTGTAAAAGTTGGTAAGTAATAAAACGTATTAATTGGTACGTACTCATTAATAAAAATGTTTGCAGACGTTAATAAAATTAATTATTCAAATTTTATTTCAATATTAATTTGTTAAAACTCTATTGAAAGCAGTAATGTTGCAATAAAAACATTTATGTCCAATATAAAACTCGTAACTTTGTTCAAACACAAAAACTACTCACTTAATTAGTTTAATTTTGTTTAAAGATCAAAATAAATTCAAATACTCAAGTTCATTACAAACTTTAACACTTAAAACTTTGCTTGATGTGTCTGTCTGAACATGTTTATTATTGTACAGTATAATTAAATATATATGTATTTAAATATGTCGAAATAAAAAACATTAATATCTTTTACGCGAGTTTACGAACTCGCGTAACTTACGTTTATCGTAATGTGGTAACTTGCAATTATCCATACTCTGCGGTTGCCAAACCGCAGTTTAGCTTTTGGCGATGTTTTAAAAGGGACTCTACCGCCCATCCCTCCACCATGAGATCTCTTAGTCGCCTCTTACGATATCCATGGGAAAGGAAGGGGTGACCTATTCTATGCCAGGATCTACACGACAATGAAGGCAATTAAGGGAACTTAA